GGCGGAGGGGTGGCGAGGAAGGCCGGCCGGCCGTGGCACGGCGGCCAGGCGAGGGCCAGGGGACGGAGACCAGGCGCAGGGCGGAGGCCCGGGCGGGTCTGAGGAGCAGCTGTCGTTGCAGGGGAGGAGCCCCGGCCGCCCGGCGAGGAGGCCGCGGAGCTGGAGCTGCTGAGGCAGTTTGACCTGGCCTGGCAGTATGGGCCCTGCACAGGTGAGAGCCCCACCCAGGCCCCACGGAGCGCATCCTCACCTGTCACCCACACGTCTGAAGCCACCCGAGCTCCTGCCTGCCGCTCGGGCACTGTCTCTTGAGCCTGGGGCGGGGAGAAGAAGAGGCTCCTGGGACACACCCCCAAACACACATTCTTTGGCCTGCACTCGGCTGCATCCTCCCGGAGGCCCCAAAGTCTTGCCCCCACCTTGGCAGGGATCACTCGGCTGCAGCGTTGGCATCGGGCAGAGCAGATGGGTTTGGAGCCTCCTTCCGCGGTGCGCCAGGTGCTCAAGACCCACCCGGGAGACCCTCGCTTTCAGTGCAGGTCAGAGACAGGCCGGGAGGGCTTCTAGGGGGGCCACGGTCTTCACCAGACCCTAATGCAGGCTTGAGGTCCTGGCTGAGCAGGCAAAGTGCCTGACTTGGGGAGATAGACTCCTTAAAGATTCTTTTTTTTTTTTTTGAGTTGGAGTCTCACTCTGTCGCCCAGGCTGGAGTGCAGTGGCCGCTCCTGGCCACCGCAGCCACGACCTGCTGGGCTCCGACGATCCTCCCACCTCATCCTTTCCAGTAGCTGGAACTACAGGCGTGCGCTACCACGCCCGGCTCATTTTTGATTTATTGTAGAGATGAGGTCTCGCTGCCCAGGCGGGTCTCGAACCCGCGGGCTCAGGCAATCCACTCACCTCAGCCTCCCAAAGGCGTGGGATTACAGTCTGAGCCACCAAGCCCGGCTTCCTTAATGATTCTTATCTCTAAGAGCTGGTGGTGGGGGGAGGGTGCACCCAGGACCCAAGGGACTATCTGTTTAGTACCGAGGGGGGTTGCCGAGGACTGTAGGCTCGGGGCTGGTGAAATCAGATCAAGAGACTCAACTGAGTTTCTCTCTCTCTGTCTCTCTCTCCCTGGGGTATGCCTCCTGCCCACCCCATCTTGCACAGCCTCTGGCATCTCTATCCACTGTGAGGCACCTCCTTGGACCTTCTGACCCTGGCACTCCTGCTAACCACCCGAGAACCTCAGGACAGAAGTGACAGCCCACTGCTACTACTCAGCTCGGCTCTGCTGTGGAGGAACATTCAGCAGGCTGAATCTGGAGGTCTCTGTGGCTCAGCTCCTCACCAGCAGGCAACAGGCTCCCAGAGCCCCCTCCGAGAGCCTGTGTAGCTGAAACTGAGCACCTCCTGGAGGGAGAGTCATCTCTGAGAACACGGACCTGGCCATGACCCTTCTGATGCCGGCCGCATGCCTCCCTGACCTGTGGTGCGGCAAACTTGGCATAGCCTTGATCAGGGCCAGATGCAGGCAGATGGTCTAAGAGGCCAGGATGCACTCCCTACCCCAGGCTGGGAATCTGAGGGCAGGACTGGTGGAGCTCATAGGGCAAGGGATTCACAAATGCTTATCAATAATAAAACATTGAGTCTAGAATCCTGACCTCCAGTCCCTCACTGCGGACCCGCTTTGGCTGGCAGGCCCCAGCAAGTTAGTGGGTGGGAAAGCGCGAACATCACACCTCTTCTTTTCCTGCAAGGATGCTCCAGGCCCAAGGAGGAGGAAAGCCAGACAGACACCTTGAGAGACAGATCCCAGAGTCTTCTCAAGAGCTGGGCAACCTCTGGTGCCCCCTGGTGGTACACAGGGAAACTATTATTTGGTCACTTTCACTGACCAGCCAGGGAAAACTTACCTGCCCTGCAAGCCACCTAGCTTGCCAAGCATTGCCCACCTCACAAGCGTGGGCACTTTGCCAGAGAAGGATCCATGGGGTCCATGGCTCATAAAGTCCAGACGGGCCTATACGTTCCCAGCAAGCGCCTCAGCTTCCCACATGGAGGGCTTCCTGGATCCAAAGCTGGAATCGGGGAGGGACTTAAGTTGCAGGTCCTATTCAGACATGACCATCAGCTGGGGGGCTTTGGCAGGAAACTGATGGTGCTGGGGACACAGGAGCAGCAATGCTCAGGAGCCGGGCGTGGTGGCTCACCCCTGTAATCCCAGCACTTTGGGAGGCGGAGGCGAGAGGATTGCCTGAGCCCAGGGGTTCGAGATCAGCCTGAGCAACATGGTGAGACCTTGTCTCTACAGTAAATCAAAAAATTAGCCGGGTGTGATGGTGTGCGCCTATGGTTCTAGCTACTTGGAAGGCTGAGGCAGAAGGATTGCCTGAGTCCAGCAGGTTGAGGCTGCGGTGGCCGTCAGCATGCCTGGGCGAAAGTGAGACTCCCACTCAAAAAAAAAAAAATGCTCAAGGTGCCCCGGGTCAGGGCATGAAGAGGAAAGTGGGGGCAGGAGCGCCCTCTGCAGTGTTACCTCCATCTGCTCTCACCCCTCCATCCTGGGGCACATGAGATAACTGTTACATCTTGGGGGCACACAAAGAGCCACTGAGTGGCCTTTGTGGCCCCCATCTAACTGAGCACTGACCATGTCTCGGATCCTTTAAATGTATTACCTCTGACCTTCCTCAAAAGCCTCCCAAGTAGGCTTTACAGCGAGGGAAACAAGCCACAAAAGATTACATGAAGTTGCTCGAGCGCACAACAGGCGTGTGGTAGTACAAGAAAAGAGGCTGGTGCATCTTTTTGGTCTCCACCATGCCCCTGTCCATCTGCTGAGCACCTACTACATGCCAGGCACCCGAGATCCCCTTGGGCCGTCATTAATGGTGAGGAGATGGACAGAATCAAACATGTAAATGAATGATGTCAGTGGCGGTCCGTGGTGAGCAAAGTTAGGGTTAGGGGTCAGAGAACACCCAGGGTGCGATTTTAGAGAGGTGGGTCAAGGAAGGCCCTCCGCTAAGGTGGCATTTGAGACCTGAAGGAAGTTGTGGAACAGGGCTTGCCCCTGTGTGAGTGTTCCAGACGGAAGAAACACGCAGAAGCTTCCTGAGACAGGAGGGTCCCAGTTTGTCAAGGAACAGAGAGAGGTCAGTGTGATGGGGCCGAGGGAGCCAGGAGAGTGCAGTGGAAAATGTGGCCGGACAGAGAGCAGGCCCGTCCCACAGGGCCTTGCAGGCCATGATAAGAAATCTGAATTGGCCTGGTGCGGTGGCTCACACCTACAATCCCAGCACTTTGGGAGGCCGAGGTGAGAGGACTGCCTGAGCCCACGGGTTCAAGACCAGCTGGGGCAACATGGTGAGACCTTGTCTCTACAATAAATCAAAAAATTAACCAGGTGTGTTAACGTGCACCTGTAGTTCTGGCTACTTGGAAGGTTGAGGTGGAAGGATCCCCTAAGCCCAGCAGTTCGAGGCAGCAGTGGCCAGGAGTGTGCCATTGCACTCCAGCCTAGGCGACAGAGTGAGACTCCAACTCAAAAAAAAAAGAAAGAAATCTGGATTTTATTCTGACTGAGAAGAGAAGACACTAGAAGTCTTTTTATTTTTTATTTTTTTGAGTCAGAGTCTCACTCTGATGCCCAGGCTAGAGTGCAGCGGCATGCTCGTGGCCATGGCAGCCTTGACCTGCTGGGCTCAGGTGATCCTTCTGCCTCAGCCTTTCAAGTAACTGGAACCACAGGCGTGCACCACCGCTCCTGGC